AATAGACCCAATGTTGACTCTTCTGGGTAAAGCTGCTCATATAGAAAATTTGAGTGAATGCAATGATCTTCGATAGCACGCGAGGGTTCTTTGTTTCCAAGATCTGCCAATTCTGTTTATTGATGAAGCCATCCATAGAAAACGTCCTTTGTCAGAAAACTTCATGAGATTTTCCTCAATACTGGCCATTTAATCAACTGCAGCAATTTAGAATTTTTCCCTTTGACAATGGCATAGAGTTCCGGTTCCGCTGTGCAATCTGTCACTGAAATCTGAAGCATTCTAGAAATATTCCGACCTTATACACTAATGCTCAGTAAGAATAATGACAATAACTGTTTACTTGCTATTCCACTGCAAAAAGTGTCAATCATTTTTAGGAAACTCTATGTAAAGGAATGCTTGTAAGTATTTTAACTGCGTGGCTATATAATACAAAACTTGATAATATAACTGTAGCGTAAATTAATAAACATGCGAGTGGACCGTAGTTTAACTTTTATTTTTGCGATTTCAACTTTAGAACACAACACAGCAAAAAGTAAGTGAAAGTTACAGTTAGCGTTTACAAGAATGCAAAAACAAAATGCGAGTCCAAGGAAAAATTATATTTCCTTCAAAAGCCCAATTCGAGTATGCAAGGATTTGTAATATCTGCCACATATGCTACATGATAGTAGGCGGCCCTTCCAAAAGTGATGTTTACGTTTAACTTCCAGTCTGTTACGTTTTGATCACCAGACGCAGTCTGGAGGGTAACATAGGATGGCGTCCAAATGAGTTCATCTTTAAAACTGTTGAGCTAAATCTCTCTGAACAATGGTAACATTCACTCTTGTATCGATGACCATATTGCAAGAAACTTCATTGATGTATCCCATGGTGAAGAATCCATTATTGCTGCCCCTCACTGAAGAAACCTTAAGCGCTTTAATATGTAGCTTCTCAATATCCTCCAAACTCCACTCCGTGATATGGCCATTCATTTGTTTCCTGAGTCGTCGATGGTAAATGGTGTTTTTACTCTCTTCCTGGGGTGTTCTGCAGTTCCAGCATTTTAGGGATGGTTTCTTGTCACTCCTATTCCGTCTCAACGAATTGAAAATCGTCTGTCTTACTGTCAGTGACCTAGGGTCTTCTGCAGTTCCTTCGTACATGGCCTTCACTGCCGCATTTACGAAACTTTAGAGTCAGTTTCTTGTCGTTCCTGTTCCGTATTAAAGCTTTGACTTGTCAGGTTAAATCAGCTAAATAAGCGATTCTCAACAGGTGGTACGTGTACCACTGGAGGTACGCGAAAAGTAGGTGGTATGCAAAGTGTTTTTAACTATTAAATTCAAAAATTAAATACTTCAACATCCTATTTCAGTTTTTTTCTCTAAAACTCGTAAATTTATGCTATTTGAGCTTTGTTCAAATCCGTTTTTATTTTCACAAGAAATATTCTTTTAACCACAGATATAACAAAATTCCTCATAAACGATGTTTTTAAAAGCCAATAGAAATGGATGCATTTAATAGGAAATAAAAATAAGTTCCTATAAAAAGATAATAGAAACTCATTAATTCTTTTAGAGTTGATCGATTTCTTAGCATATCTGCTCTTTATATCTCCACCATTTTCGGTCTCATATTACTGTATTTTCAATTAGAATTATTATTTTACGTCGATTTGCTATCTCTAACATCAGGTATTTCGTCTTGTTGCTTTCTTCTTCCTTACTTTTCTATGCAGTTTGAGAATATTATCGTTTGTTTTTGAAGAACTCGTGATATATTGTGCATTTAAATATTTGCGAAAAAATAATCGAATTAATATATTCTTCGTAGTCATCAATTTTTCGATGTAAATGCTTATGCATCTTTTCTTAGAATTCCAGCAATATCCAAATATTTTACAAGGCGAAGTATCCGAAACCATTTCTCACTGAATCAATCTTCAGGTAGCGGTATATGTTCGCCACTTCCTCATGTTTTCTTAATTTTTAGTCTATTCATTAAAAGTTATTTTAATTTATTTTATATGATATTTTATTACTTTAAAGAATAAATATTTAGAGAAATTCTGAAATAACAAAATGCTAAAAGTTAAAAAATAATGAAAACTAAACTCACTTTGTTACAGATTACAACATGTTATTACTATAATCGATATTTTGTTTCTACTACAAAGCACAGTTTAAAAATTAATTTTTAGGATGGATGTAGATCTCAAAAACAGGAAATTGTCTGCTGACAATACTGGCATTTTCCTTCTCTTCTTTAATTTGAAAAAAAAATGGTACCAAAATGATACGAGGTTCTTCTGTTCGGTAGGGTCCACATTTTGTTCTGCACCCTTGAAAAAATATATTAGTTGGAAAAATTTATGTTTATAAATAAATACTAGTTCTAAAAGAAGATCAAAGAGAAATTCACAGTTCTTGATTACAAGACGTTAGTAAAATAAATAAATATATAAAAATATTATTTTACATAAATATTACAGTAACATTGTATAAAAAAGGTAATACCTAACATACATAGCTATACTAGGACACAGTATTCAAAGAATTGAAATGAATCTCAAAGGAGCAGCTCCGAGGAAGCGAAAAGAGCAAATAATCAAAACTCTGCAGGAGCCAGATTTGCGACTAGAGCAGGAGTGATAAAAAAGCGAATAATGAAGACTTTATAAATCCGACGCTAGTGCAGGGGTAATGAAAGAGCGAATAATCACGACTCCGAAGGATACAGATCTGCAACTAGCTCCGAAGCGCTGACAGCTGGGTATCCGAGGAGCTGGTTCCTATAATCTACGTACTTTAAGCAGGTCATCGCACTGCCAGATGGGCGGAAAAAACTCCATCCATTTGCAAACAGGAGTGGTCGGTTTATTTAATGTTTTGTTTTTTAAATACTAGATGGAACAAAAGCACACACACATATATATACAGCTTTCGGTGAAATGTAAAGAACTGCCGTCCCGTTTTCATAGGAGCGATGATCATTCGCTCAGTAAAGTGAATCGGTTCCGGAGCGGATCATCCATCTCTAGTTTGGAGACTTCGAATTTGGATAGTAATTGTGTCATGTAACTACTCAGTTCTTTTAAGTTCGAACATAATTTCACAGGTCCCTAACAGTTTGCTTACATGCGAGCTTACAATTTTATCAAATTGTTATTTAAATAGTTTAACAGCTAAATCATAATTATTTTGTGTTAAATGTTAATCCTTGTATACATTTTAATGCGGAATCCTTTAAGGAAGGATTATAATAGTTAAATTTATCAATTTTTGATAATTTTTGATTATTCTCATGAAGCGTACCTTCAAATTGTCCCAAAGATCCCTGTGAGTTTTCATATTTGCTGTCAAAAGGTTCTGCTTTTAATTTAGGCCAACGTTTCCCAAAGTGTGGTATCCCTAGAGGTATGGGAAGAGTTTGGTGGGGGTTCGCATTGCACATGAGTTTGGTGGGGATATGCACTGCACCGTGCTTAGCTGCGCCTAATTCTACGTTCTCCTGAGTTAAGTCAAGACAGTCTTGGGAGGCGTGAGATGATCCGGTGTGACACAGTGGCAGGGAGAAAAGAAGGTGGTTTTTCTGAGAAGAACCAGGATCTTCCTGCTGGAGCTATGGGCATTTTGGCCCGCTAGAACTACCACTCCTCGTATACGCTTTTGATCGAGCACATTCCTGTTAAAAATTTCTGAAATTACGGACTGAACTTATCCAAGTTCTACATCTTCATGAACCGCAACTGTTAAATTTTTTATTTTATTAAAACTCATGTTATTGTTAGAACTTGAGTTAAAAGTTCATTTCAACCCTGTATTACAACCCGGAGTCTGTGTAGCGGTTTCGGCCACTACACCACAACGCCATAAGTGCTGGCTAGTTTGTAAGCATTCTACTTTTGATATTATGCCATAGGTGCTGGATAGCTTCTAAGTATTCTACTTTTGATTTCCTACCTTAAGTGCTAGCTGGTTTGTAAGCAACGGGCGTGCCTCCTGTTCAGCTAACTGAGTTCATAGTAAAATTTTACCCCCTTCATACTTTTCTGTATACATATAAGACATGGAACTTATTTCTACATAGAGTCTTGACTTAGTGTATGCTACAAAACCAATTTGACTTTATTATTTAATCCTTTTTTTTTTTTCATTAAAACTGCATGATAAATTATTTTTCTCCTTTCCTTTCATTAGTAATTAACTTTAAATTAAAAAGCTCATTTAAACTCAATTTAAAGCACTTTTTTCCCTCTATCCAATGGGGCAACAATTACAGCTCTTAGAGTTTTCGCTAGTTCTTTAAACGTAATCTGTGGGAAAATTGTTTCATCACTAAATTTAAAAAACCTAAATCAAATTTGAAAAAATCGCTGCAGCACATCATTTTGTCTTCCGTAATGAATGTGTATGCGAAAGCTGCACTCGATAGCTGATCAAAAAATAGTTTAATAACGGATTGCATACTTTTAACCATAATGACAAACACCATGGAGAAGGTTAAATTGTTGGATTTTAGGCAATATGTAGTTTGTATTTTATACGTACTTTCATTTAATTTTATTTACTTAATATCGTTTGTCTGCTAGTAATTATTGTTAGTTTTTTTTCGTGGATGTGGCAACAAAACAACTTACAGAATTAGTAAAAATATGTACGAGTAGTGAGAAGATTTATTAAAAGAATGTTTTGTTATTCAATTAAGTGCTGTATTTATTTAAGATAAAAATTTATTTTCAGCAATATTAGATCTTTAGAATATCCTTACTAGTTTGTAGAGTCCGTGATACGCTGGTAGCGTAATATTTTTTCTTTCTTTCTTTCTTTCTTTCTTTTTTTTTTTTTTTTTTTTGACGCATAAGCGAACAAAATGAACTTTTCACATAAGGCTCGGAAAAAAAAAATAGCTTAACGCAATGATATTATTACCTTGAAACTGAAGAATCAGTACTTCGGCTTCTGTTTCATATTGTAGTATATTTAAAAAAGTGTCGAAAATCGTCCAATTAATACTTTTTATTATATTCTCAAGCAGTATACATGTACAAAATTTGAACTCGATAGCTTACCAAGAAGTCATCTAAAAATCGGTGACAAACTTTTGACCATAGCGACAAACACCATGAGTGAGGCGAGTTTGAAAACCACCTGAAGATACGAAACAGACGGAAAATTCTTGAAGCAGTCAGATGGAAAGCATTAACGAACATGCGACAGGTATAACTGAATTGTTTAATTGAGAAAAGTGTTAAACAGCTCTTCGTACTGAAAGAACAGATCATGTATGAAAGCTCTTTTAATATTATGCTCGTGAAAAAGAGAATTTCGAGACCGTCATCGGTCATTGTTTTTAGAAGCAATACGATAAACAGAAGAATCTTTCTGCCGATCATATTTAATATTTCGGCAAATAATATAAATGCTTTTTAATAGAAATAGAAAGAAGAAATAACCTCGTACAGTTAAATGTATACATGGCAGTTTCATTCTCGCCTTAGAGGAGGTCGTTGACTTGTTTACCGCCTCTGTCAAGTTCAAGGCCAACAGTAGTCAAGTTCCTTCCCACGTGTTTCCAACGGCATAACTTTCTCTTTATTTGTAGAACGACGAATGTAGCCTCTGTAAATGTGTATACAATGGGTTAAAATGTATGAATCAAAGGATAAACGGAACATGGCAGAAAGCTAAGGGGGAAAAAAAAGATATTGTTTTATAACTTATAATTTATTAACAAAATAACTTTCTTTCTTTACTTAAAAAATTAACTCGAAAGTAGAATAAGACTCCAATTATCTGGTCATTTAACAATATGCTTAACTACCCAAAAATATACATATATTTTCGAAATCATGCTGCCTGAAATAAATTTTTGATTGACTTCAATATTGTTGAAAGGAAAGAAACATGTACACATTTAAATCAGCTATTAAATTACGTCAGCTGAATAAGTGTAACATGCAGATTGGTCACATTGCTATACGAATTTTATACATGACCATAATAAGAGCTTTCCCTTCCTCCTTTCTTCTTTTTAATACTCTAAACCAGGAGAGTCAAACGGGCGGTTTCCAACGCAATTTTATGCGGCTCGCGAAGATAATTCAATTATGCACTTGTTGCAAACACGATGTTATAAAGACTTCAAGATTTCAGTGATTTGTAGTTCGAGTTTATATTAGTTTTATTTCCACTAAAAGCAAACATAAATAACGCGTCAGAAAATCTATAAATGTAATTAATTAATTTACAGTGTGATACAAATCTTATTCAAAGATACATACAAATTTTATTATTTATATTCGTACTTGTCAAAAAATAAATAAGCTTAGTAGAAATTTTTTGCACTAAGAATAAACGTTTTGTTTGGAAATACATTTATATGCGGACAGTCTTTTTACTTCCTTGTACGAAGTAAAAAGGAAGTATTGTAATCGCGAAAAGTTTCAGGCAGCATATTTCAACGAAAATATCCATTTTAACCGCTATCGAATGCAATTTAACGGTGTTTTTGCGTGATATCTGTACGTAAGGACAGAATAAGATATTCTTTTCCTTCAAAAAAATTATAAAACTGCTTTAAAATAATTCTGAAGAGAATTTTTCGTGGCGTCTGTACGAACGTATGTACGTACGTATCTCGCATAACTCAAAAACGAGTAACCTCAGAACGTTGAAATTTTGCATATAGGACTGCTATAACATGTAGATGTGCACCTCGTGTTTTGGTTGCAATCGGCCGCACCAAACGTATATAAATATATTTATATATATATCCACTCTATTACCCGGCTCAGAGATCTCAGTTTCTTTACTCTTATATGTTTGTAAATTGTACATTTTTTGCTTTAAAAATGATTGAATTATGTTGTTTTTATCTTCCGGTTAAGGATTTTATGCCTTTGTAATCGGTGTGCAATATTTTTAGAATTATCAGCAATTTTAAAGTGTTTAATTGCCGCTAAGCCTGTTATAATGGCGGCCATTGATGTTTACATTTGAAACAGGAGACTAGTGGATTTGTTGCCAATCTAGAGAAACTTAGCTTCGCAACAACAAAGATAACGCATTCATTTATTATTGCCAATTAAATCATGCTTAATTCTTTCTGGAATTTTTTCGAGGAAATAAGCGTTTGAGATTTACTTCGTAATTTTTAATACAGATATTTTGAGTTTTTATGTATTTTTACCTTCTCGCGAAGTGAGAACTGAATTAATTAAAAGAGAAATAGTCAATAGTCTGTGATCAACTGTTTCTTTTTTGTTTTGTTTACTTAATTTCTTCTATACATAGTTCGAGCTTTATTATAGTATTTGAATAGAACATGTGGCAACGATTAGATAAATCTTTAAATGATGTACATTTTGTGCATTCTGAGTTATAATATGAATAAAATGTAATACTGTTAAGTAAATCTAGCGCCAGAGTGTCGCTATGGTAAACAAAGTGAATTTTAAAGAATGCATTTATTCTATTGTGGTTTATGCGCTGTCGGCGAAGTAGGTTCAATTGAATCTAATAAGTTTAAATAAAATGCAAGAAAAAATGCTTATAATTTAATTTTCCGTACAAGGAAGTCATGTGGTGTACACATCAGATTTTTTTTATAGTTGAAAGCTTGTAAGAAAGGAACCCGATTGACCGACTGACATCTACACTCCGTGATGAAGATAATTTACAGTAATTTCCTTCAAAAGGCTACAAAGGCTACAAACGTTATCAGAATCTAACAATCAATGATCCATCTGTAGTAAGAAATAGAGTTGATAATTACCTGCATACAAACATTTGTAATTTTATTATTACGCTGAAGAAAATTAAGCAAATAAAAGAAAAGAATTAGGTTGTTATTACTTATTCTCAAATTTCGTCCCACTTGGAAAAGTTTATCTGAGAACTTAAAAAATTTTCCTAATTTGTTTATTATTAGTTTAATTTTAAATAAATTATTTAAAGGTTAATTAAACATGCTAGAATTATTTGAAAGGGATGCCAGTCTAAGAGTTTAGTATTTAACTATCAGTATGAACCACAAAGTGTAACCAGAAATATACCTCGCAGGTGCCAAACTTTAGATTTCAAATAAAAAATAAATAGAAATTTGAGTTTTCCCCCCGTTATGATATTATTATTATTGTTTATGGGACGTCTTCATAAATGTTTAGTAAGCGAAATTTAAAATTTATTAAAAATATTTTTTTAATTCGTTACTAAAAGTTTTGTTAAAAAAATTAGCCTTTCATTTGCTTTCAGATCGTGCATGCGACCCGCTTGCAATTTGAGTTTGACACCATTGGTCTAAACAGACACAGTCACATGTTGTCAGTCCCTTCTCTATGCAAAAAAGTTTTGGTTAATATGCAAAGTATTTAACTGCAAGTAGTTATTTTCTGGTAGATTTTTGTTGCATTTTGCACTGCTACTCGAGAGTGAACTTTTGAGGATTTTATGTTTTTTTTTTTTCAGTTAGAATGTAACACTTTTTATATCTATAATCTCTATAATCTTTAAAATAAAACACGATAATCGGAAAAACAAAATTTGTTTACCTTTAGTATGTAAATATATATTTGGCTGTCAGGAGAAAGAGGAACTAATTATTTGAGTTTTTCGAATTCGAGTTATTTTGGATATTTGTACTTCTACCGTAAACAAAAAATATTTGTGAGATATTTATTTTTTAAAATTAAGTAACTTCAGGGTTCAATTTCCGAAATTCGAAGTGCAGGAGACCTATGGAAGACCAAGGAAAGAGAAACAAGAATAAATTATTAAATAAAGAGTTATAAAAACATTAGTAATTAAAAAATTAAATAATTAATCATTAAAATATTAAAATTTGATAAAATGTAAAGAGATAAATTAAAATTAAATAAATGATTTTCAATATAATTTTATTACCAAAAATTAAATTTTTGAGATCAAAATTTCTACTGAAATTGTTGTTCACTTACATAAAGAAGTGGCGAAGCCTTTCTTATTTAGTGCTCCGATGCGCTCCACTGAAATTATGGTTTATCTCCAAAACTAAGAAGTACCGGAGCCGGGTTCCGGTGGGCTCCGGTGCAATTTAAGGTCTGAGTAACCTTTCTTTATATTTACTGTTTCTTATATTTAGGCACTGATGCAATAAGAAAAAGAATTATTGTGAAGGAATATCACACACAGATAGACCTTCAAGTGTGAAGTGAAAACTTTCTTTAAGAATGAATATTCAATGATGAAGAGGGTAAATTTATTAAAAATTTTTTTCCAGGCATGGTTTTATTTAAGCAAATAAATTTTTTTAATCCAAAGTTTCAGGAAAAAATTCTTTCAGCTTCTTTAAGCCAGAGCTTTGATCAATTTGATTTACATAAATTAAATTTAAACTGTATTTATTGAAGCGCATTTGAAAAGTGATTATCTGGTTAAACGTGAAAAAAAATGTACTTAAAAAGCCGAAAATTCAACAAAAATAAGGAAAGGAAGCGTTGCTCAAAATTTGGGTGAAAAAATTACGGAGAGAAAAACTCCTGCCAATTTATTTGTTATAGTATCACTTTTCTGCTTCTTATCATACCCAAGTGAATTTAATGTTACAAAAAAACAAAGAAAAATTGTTCATTCGCACTTATGTTTACTAACACATTCCTTATTGATCAGCTAATACACAAATTTAAGTTTTAAGAATTTAATGTACATATTATTTATTATAATTACATTTCAGTATGGACAATTTGTATCAAACTGAAGATGGCAATTCTTTAGCATCGTGGTATAAAACATGATCCTAAAAAGTAAAGTGACTCAAAAACGTCCCAGTTTTGAAATATCGTCGCAGAAAATATCATCGAAAAAATAAAGCACTTGCAAATTATCGCATAATAACATCCCAGGCTTGTATCTTCAGAAAAAATATTTTAAATGCATGCTCACACTACAAATCCAACCTTTTACTAATAATACGACTTTATAAAAGAGATTACTACTAATCCAGTTTTATAAAGAAATTATATTAAGTAATGATATTTAATAGCTAACTACTCAAGTTTAAAATTCCTTTAATTGTTATACGTACCATTACTAAATTAACAACATTATTAATTGTTATACGTACCATTACTTTCCTACTCGTTTTCATTTCTTGAATGATGAAGTTTCTTTCTTGCTTTTTCAACAGAAATTTAGTCAATTAAAAAATTTGAAATATAAATGTAAAAATATTCCGCGTTCCTTCTGCTTCAAAACCGCTATGCGAACGGATATTTAAAACATATAATGCTTGAAAACGTATGTCTGAGATGTTGTTATCGACTTTTCATCATCTTGTGATGAATGCGTGTTGTTGAGTTCATCTTGTGAGTGTTAGTTGACGGTTTTCAAATTATTTGATTTACAAATAACTGCGTCGGCGTCTGCGTGCGAGGCTCATGCTTAATGCGTCCCAAAATACTGAACTGACGTTAAATGTGACGAGGCCACATTAAATTTAAGTTTTTTAATTATTACAATTTTTATGAAAATATCTGAGAGATTGCATCAGATTATAATGCGAATAGCTAAAACATCAGTTTCCATTGAGACAAAGTTAATCGCTAACTTGTTTCTTGTAACATGAGAAAGCAATTTGATAGCGAAGATCTCATTTCAGCTCAGTTTATCTAATAAGGAAGAACTTTATGATTGGATGTTTTTCTTCTGC